GCAATGTTTTATAAAGGGTTTAATTGGGTTCAGAAGGAAGGGGGGGGGAGTGCAGGTGGACAGGGTTCAGAAGGAATTCAATCCCTCATTAATTGGGTTTCCAATTTAAAAATTTAGTGCCAAAAAAAAAATTAGCATTATAGAGGTACCATTTTTCAAACAGGAGGGTCTGAATAATTTTGGAAAAATTTAGCATTATAGAGGCACCCTTTACTAATCGTGATCCAACATTAGGGGATTTGCAGGCATCCGGTCCGGTGCGAAACCGCGAAAACAGTGAACTGTAATCTTTATATAAATGGGTCAGAGGGTTGTGGTGGGCTACATTTTGAGAAGGATATTTGTTGAAGCGTCACTTTCAAGGCACCGTGCTTTCTGGTTTCAGTGAGGGTGGGTGGGTGCATCAGTTTCCGATTGAGCCCCCCAAAATGGCTTGCTTGGTCAACTGGCCATGGAGATGTCTTTACCAACATTAGTGTTTCATGCAGTTGCGGCGATCAATAAGCATAGAACGGAAAAGGAGAAACACCGCATTTAAATGGCCGTGTAAAACACACACATACCAAAATCACACACAACTAACAACATGCTTAAGCACGCAAGCTTTCCGGGCCCTGGCAGTCAGGTTATTCTGATGAACCCGACGTCCGAGAAGATCTGGCCAAGTTGCAAGAAGAGCACCAAGGTTGCTTGGAGACAGGCGGCCAGAGTTTGTCCCTTACCATAAACCCAACACCAACACATGTTCACTATGCACTGCCGTCCTTTACCCTTGCACTGTTTGGTCCTGGCGATCTCGTGTGCAGGTGGCCTGCCTTGCGAGATGCCCAATCCATGGCTATCTGGGGATTCAGGGAAGGATGCCGAAGAAGTGCTCTCAGTCTTGAAGGACCTCCGACCCTTGTAGCAAAGCGGACGGTCCCGTGTCTTGAAGGACCTCTCGTTCACCTCTTCAAAACGTCAATGAAGACTGCCCTCCTTATCAGTCACCACTTCGTTTTGACTAGGCTTGGGGGATGTGCTGACTTGGGAATCTAAATGCGCGTAGATTCCGTATGCAGCTGCCACACCATGCACCACCTGCCACGCTGTCCAGAGCCAAGGACACCGAAAGGCCTCCAAGCTGGCTGAGTTGCGAGTTCAGAGCGGAGCATTGGGCCCGGAAATCTTGAAGTGCTGCCACGATGCTGAAGAAGAGTTCTGGGCCGAAAGGTGTCCAAATCAACAGGAGATTGAGACCGCCCGGCTCTCGCTGGGCCCAGCGGTGGTCACTTTGGCGGCGGATTTGGACTTCAAGGACCGTTACTCACAACTCACCAGAGACAACTCACAGTTGCAATTGCCAAAACGTATTTGACTTTGCTAATTATTGGTTGGCTTTCGTGGCTCAACGGACCCAAACGGATGCTTGGCCTGTTTCTTGTGGCCGCAGGCCACAACCACAGATTGCATATTGCAACGCCGCTCTCCCTAGCTTGTGTGCTAGATGCTAGCACCTGTGGGGTGAGACCTATTGCATTTTATTGCTTGGTGTTAGATTGAGACTGGAGAACGTTAGGACCGTTTCTGGTGAAGTTGTGATTGTAGGGGTCATAGTATATACGTAGTGGAAGGCAGAAAATTGAATGCGTGAGAGAACGAACTTTGACTTGAGACCGCTTCGAACATTTGCCTGTAAACGAACATCCAGAAGGCTATGGTTTGTGACTCACTTTCCTATTGAGACCAGTGAGAGTAAGACTAAGAATGTGTTGTTTCAGTTTGTGTGCATTCATTGCTGGAAATACAAGGCGCTTTTATTGCTGACTGGCTCACAGCATGCTCTTGCACCGACACTGACCGATCCAGCAAAGATACAGACATACAGTCTCATACTTTGCTCTCACTCTCCGCAAAAGCGGTTACTGTCAGTAGCTTCACCGTTTCCAACGCAAGGGATACAAAGAGCCTACCACCATCCACCACCCATTTGACCTACAGCCCAGTCCCAAAACAAGTCAAGGCATCGACTTTGTCCGCCCGGGCGTTGAGTCGTGCTTGGCACCTTGCGAAAAAAAGCAAGAAGCGCCTTGCTTGGCGACCTCGCATGAGTTGGACCTTGCCTCTTTCCGCAGACCTTTCGTTGGACAAGGCCATTACTGTGCTTCGCTCCCGGCAACATTCTCGTGAAGAGTCTGAGGCACCGGCTTTGGCTTCCGTAAGTGGCCCACCGGCATCGGCACCTCCAGGTGGGGCGACCAACCGTGGCCTTGACAGAGGAGTAAGAGTGTGAAGGGTGTGTTGGCACAACCCACCAAAGAGATTGGTAACATCATGTAAGACATGGACATGGATCCACATGCTGCAAATTGGGCAAGACATGAAGGTCAAATGTTTTTTCACGTTGCCTTTGAGGGTGTTGGCTTGGTTTCCAGATCCTTTCCAGGTACTGGACAGGACTCGGTCCTTTCAAGCAAGTTGTCCCGTCCTTCCACAACACCCGGAGTTGGGTCATCCAAGATGTCAACGATGTCAATTGGAAGGTCTTGGGCTCCTCGATCTCCAGGTCGAGGTATCACAGGAATGGAGCTTTTGAAGCCGAAGAAAGTCATAGTTGATGAGCCGGTCCCGGACAAACTAGCAGATATGTTGAGGAGAGCAGCTGACTTCGAGAAGCAGTCGGTGGAGAACAGTCTGAGCTCCCGGAACACTCGCTTCACCCAGTCGTGTCAATCCTTTCGGAGTCTAGGGAGCATGGCATCCAGCAGGCTCACCCGTGCTGTCTCCCTTCGGCAGCAGACCAGCCGATTGTTGGCCACGCGTGGCCGGCAAAGTCCGTCAGCATCTCATGGGAAGTATCGGATCGGACAGCTCTCAAAGCTTGGTTCGGGTATTTTTCACCTTCCAGAGATTCCTGGCACGCCTGTGGAGCAGGGTAAAGATGCCAAGAAGGCCTCAAAGGCCAAGGCACGCAGTAAAACCAAGAGGAGCGATGGCCCACAAGAAGTCTCTTTGGAAGCCGCCCGTGCTTTCTGGGATTTGGCCGCTCAAGAAGATCGGCGTGCTCAACAGGCTCGAAATGGTCGCCATCGATCAAGCCAGGATGAAGACAGGCGCCAACCAAGCAACTCTCAGTCAAACCACTACCCCAACTATGTACGGCACTCTGGCCCGGGCGTGCCAGAACTCTCTCATCGTGTGGGACTACCATATCAAGTGGCTAAGGAGGCTGCTCATCTCTTCCATCGATTTGCTGACTTCCCTAAAGGAGGAGGCATTTTTGATGGCAAGCTGAAGGCCGTGTTGGGCCCCCATTGAGTCATATAGGGTTGAAACTTATGAAGGTTATTCCAGAAGGAGACGGATTGATGTTTGGCATTTGTGTGTGTGCCTTTATCGTATCTTACCACAAAAATCACACCCTGGATGTATGTGCGCGTTTGTTTTTGGATCCTGGTTGAAAACAGGAATCCACCCGGTCCTCCGCAGGTCTCCCAGCTGACCGAAGTTTTAGTCGCTCTTTGTGAAGTCGCGGACGCCTCAGAGCTGGACAAGGGCTTCACGGATCGAGCCTTTCGAGCTGCGGATCGCGACTCAGGCGCGAGAGGAGTCGAGGTTCTTCAGGACATGAGATGATCTAGTGAAAGGTTTGAACCGGCATGTGGATGGCATGCGGTTTTTAACGGACGGTTTTGTATGGTCTTTATACATTGCCCCCGTGGCTTGCACTGTTTTTCAGGTGGCTTCATTGACATTGAGGAATTTGCCATTTGGTACTCCTCCTTTTGCTTTGCAGAGGAGGTGACCGTGCGACCTCAAGTGCGACAGACCAGGGAATTAGCACGACAGATGGGTCTGGAAATCTGGGCCATTGAGAAGTTCCGGGTCGCCTTTGACAAGTACGACGCAGACGGTAGTGGAGAGATTGAATTTGATGAGTTTTCAGACATGGTGCAAGAGCTGCTGAAGATACCCAATGGCCATGAACTCCCGCATGACCGGCTGATGACCATGTGGCGCACGGCCGACATCACCCAGAAGGGCTACCTTGACTTCCGGGAGTTTTGTTTTTTCTATGTCCGGATGGTCTCTATGGAAGAGGGATGTGATCCAATCAGGGACTACTATCGAAACGTCCGCAACGTTCCAGTGGCTCCCCTCTAAATGTCGGAATTTCAGAATGATCCATGTATTGCATGCTGAACCTTGCGCAGATGTGCAGGTTGTTGTCGATAAACATGCAGGTGCTGCTGATTCAAGCTGTTTCAAACATTGTGTCAGCGCGCACTGCAGGTACTCTGTCGTGGTTTCACCCGTGCTTTACTTGCCTCAACATGCCCTGGCAAAAGACGGCAACCATTCGGAGATTTCCTGTAGGGTCATAATCAGTATACGTCACTCTGGAACTGCAGCGTGTGTTGTTGTGCATTGACCCACTTTATCTTTCCTTATATATATATACACACTATATACTATAAACTGTATATAGACCATATACAGTCATATATATCATGACTCAAATATACCCACCGCATCAAGATTGAACCAACGGCTATGACTCGGCCCCCGCCTGGGTCAACAGCGGTGGCTTCGCCTCGAGGCGACTCCTGGGCCCATGGCGATGGCATTGACCTTAGGAATGGCGCCCGGATCGAGGTTTAATCACACCTGTGATCGAAGAAAGAACGACGAAATGTGTGTGTGTGTGTGTCACATGAGCAGTTTCAGGACCATTCAAGACCACAAGAGTGACCATTCAGGACCATTCCTCCTTTCACCTCGAGCGGTCTCCGCCGCGGTCTTTCGCCGTTCACCTCCGTGAGCAGTTCAGTCGCCGCGCTCCGCTCAGGATTCACCCAAACGAAGGCACTGAATCCAAGGGACGGTGGATGACGGTGGGCAGGAGAAAACAGAAAACTTATGGGCCTTTTCAATTGAACACCGCAGGCCCCAATGCGGCACTGTTGGACGTTGGTTTGGCTTGAAATTGTACTGGTAGTGTTTGAGCAGCGTTTTGAGCATTCGGCTTTGTTCGAGGTGAATTCAAGATGCCTTTTAAATCCCAGACCTTCCCATGAATCAAGGTAGCAAATGGTAGCAACTCCCGGATCGGGTGGCACCACCACCGGCCTCGCGAGGCCTGTGCCACCGCCGGTGGAGGTCATGACGCACATGGTCGCGCGAAAGTGAGGTGCTTGGCTTCCACGGTGTCGGTACAACGAATTGAAGACAACCATGCCAACTTATAGTTATTTGGCCTTGGCATTGTTCATCACTTTCGTGATGCCTGCGGGGATATTGTTGAATGGACGCAACAGTGTTCAGATGAGACGGTGAGACAACAAGTAATTACTGCATAAATAATAAATATATATATATATTAAATAAATATATATATAATATATATATACACCTTTCGTCGGCGTGGCATTCATTCTACACCCTGATGATAGATGTGAGTTGCTGGTGATTCTATGTCAGATCTCAAGCACCTCCAAGAAAGCCTTTCGACGCAAAGACTTTCTGGCTCAGAGATTGCCAATACTCAACATGCCGCACCTCAGACCTCAGCGAACACAGTCAAGCCGGTCGTGCTATCCCAGTCAAAACAGAGGCATAATTATGTATCCAGCTTGTACATGCTTGAGTGTGTCCAATGTTCAGCCAGAGAAGCAAAGGGAGTCAGTAGCTGTATTCCTGGCAGTTGCACTCTTGCACGACCTGGAAATAACTTGGATGTACCTAGTTGCACATGCAGAAGTTGCATTGATTTTGTTCCTCCTGTGGGCCCACTGGCCCTCATGGATGGGCACCACAAGCGCGGCCCCCGCGGCCCCCGCCCCGCCAACCGACGTTCGAACCGCCCGAAGCACCGCGGCGGGTACTGGTCCAACAAGCGGCGGCAATGGCGGAAGCGTCAGCAGGTGCCCCTTGGGGGCATCGCAAAAAGGGCCGCATTTGACATGTTCTGGACATTTATGTACCAAATTTGATGCTGTAGAGCTGTGGGGGATGATGTTCGTAAATCAATGCTCTTCTCCGCTTTGCCTGCGATTTCCAGTTCCAAGCAAGCAACAGACATTTGCATTTGGACTTCGTTTCACTTTCAAGGTTGTTTGATATTGTTTGCATTCCACCACCAGCCAGTGTGACATAATATACAATATTGTCATAATATATGAATATGATATAGTGATATAGCTGTGGCCTGTGCTGCACGAGTCGTTTATTTCCTCAAAGAATCTAGACGTTTGAATATTTGGCTTTGGGAAGGACCATGAACCAAACACCGCTGAGAAACAGTTAGGTTGTGCCGAGGGACGTCACTCAGTTGTGCAGAGTTTTGTGCAGGGAAAGATGGAAGCCCAGCAGGTTGGGGCCAAAGACGAGGTCCGTTCATTTTGTGAGGCATTGTATGCCTGACTGTATGCCTCATGTTTCACTGCACAAGCTTGGAGCTAAAAGTTGTATGCCTTATGTATGCCTGTATGCCTCATGGCTAAGATGCCTGACGCCATGCTTGCTCATCCATTCTCAGGTTTCCGTGCATGCCTGCTTACTCAACTGCTTTTGTTGAGTTGACCTGACCTGTGCACAAACACTCCGCCTCGCGAAGCAAAGTGAGCATGAGGATATGAAAGGGCTTAAGCCTTAAGCACTGGAAACAAGGGTTTCATGAGTGCATACAAAGCTTGACATAGTTTTACCCACATGTTCCACCACTGGTACGTCTTCTCCAAGACAGCTCTAATCACTATATAAGGGGTTTGGCTGTCTCGTTTACAGGAGGAGCTCTACGAAGAAGTTGAGGAAGATCAAGAGGATATGACAGTGAGTCACCTTGCTGATGTCGAGTACTTCGAAGTAGCTTGGCTTGGATGGCCTGGAGTTTGTAGGTGTGTGCGCGCATGATTGCAGTGCCTTTACGCGCCGCGCATGGTTTCATGCCAGGAAAGACGAATCCAAAATGGCCAGAGATATCCTGCAAATTAGACCAAGAACAGATCGTGATCCATCTTTTTGCGCATGGCCTCCCGACGTGGCTGAGGCCTACGACCAGCTAGAGGTGCACGCTTTGATGTTGGAAGACTCTCAACGCCTCGGTTCTTATTTGGCGGCGATTCGTGCGCACGACCTGAAGGCTGGACTGTAGCTGGAGCTATTGAGAAAGGCTAGTGTTGGAGCTAGTGCTACTAGTAGCTGCTTCTAGTTACTCCCTAGGGATCCTAAACATACGCTGACAAGATGATTGCAATGTGAAGTACCCTCTGGTTGGATGGAAAAACGTGACAGGCCCCGCGACAGTGCTCAGGCAGAAATGAACTTTTAACGCAAGCCACTGTGTCACTTCACCATGCCCTAGCAGCCAGAAGCAAAGAACTAATTAAGTATACACTAGGCTCCGTCACTGGAGCTGTCATTCCCCAGCCGTTCATGGCTCTTCTGCCTGAGTTGACAGATAGGTTGACTGCTCCCAGCAATGCAAAGGCTAAAGATACACACAAACAGTGCAACTTATAAAGGTTACCATCAAATCCAAGAGACCCTACATAAAAACGCTGGATGGCTATGTACTCAACATTGGAGTTGTTGCCAGCACCACAAATGGTGGACACTCGACCAATGAAATCTTCAGGTTTGAAGCCCTGGTAAAAACGATGGTTGATGAGATCTTCCCGCTGAGCTAGTGCTATCTCTTGGAATGCCTAGGATGTGTGCTGCAAAAAAGCCTAGGAAATGCATGTCCTCACCAAACACCCAGTGGATCCACGGGGTGATTGAAGACACCTTACAAGGCTAGCTAATAAGGCCTGGCAGATCCCAAAAATTAGGGAACCAAAAAAAGAGACAAGCAGTGAGTGCTGAGTAATAGTCACATGGAGCTTCGGCCGGATCGGGAAGAGCAAAACGCCAGCAGCCACGGCCATATGGCTCAGGACCAAATAGTAGGTCAAACAACCATCACATTCCCTCTGAAGATCCATGGCCTCATCCGGCACCAAGAACCTTCCTAGCAACTCAGTCTTGCGATGCCACTCAGCCAGATGGAACCTCAGCTAATGATGTCACATCCGATCCGATCCTTCATATACCAAAGAGTGTCCAATCACCCTCAGATTCATGACAGATTCCTTAATGACTAGTACTGTGTCTATTTCTGGCTGAGCACTGTCTTGTTTTCCCATCTTTCCAATATATATGTATATATATTTGTTTGGGACCTCCAGAGGTATGCAACACTCAGAAATTTGAAGAGTGATGAGTGTGATTCCGTTGCAGTTGTTCCGTACTACAGCCAACGCAAACAACTTTGGCGGCAGACATCACGGCAGTTCAACATCTTAAATTCTTACCCACCATAACCTTTACACCAACCCAGCACAGCCACGTGCACGATGCCAAAAGGGGCATCCACTGGTCATCCCTGAAGCTCTCACTGTTTGCCAGTGCTACCACTTCATCACAAAGCCAGGCGAGCACACAGCGAGCCTCAGGCCCAATGGATACATGATCAAACACAAGGCTTTGGCCACTTAGACTCCGATGTAGCCATGGGCCGATGGAGAGACTTCAGGGGGACAAGGCGTGTCAAGAATTGCGAAGGGACAAGCCACATATATACTAGTATACTCCTTTTGGATCAACATACCCTCAAGCCCTATAATATATTTAGGTTTCAGGGTCCAAGTACCTTCTGAGAAGCTATGTGGATCACTATAGGGGGTCATCACCAAGCCCCAACACCCAAAAGTAATATCAGCCTGGTTGCATTGTAGGCCTTGGATTGAAGCTCTGGCCAGGGATGGTTTTTGGAGCGCAAACGCCATGGACGGAACTTCGGCATTGAGTGCCTCAGCTGTAAGACAATGGAGATGTGGGATAGGATCTTTCTCTGAGCTTTACCTTCAGGTCTGAAACCACTTGGTGGAAAACAAATTTACCAAAGAGTCAAAATGCCGGACCTTATTGGTTCTGCTCCATGTTTTAAACATGTCATAGGCAAGCAAGAGCCGATCCGGTTCATCCATGTCCAAACCTCCAAATATGTTGTCATAGTCCAGAAGCTTTTTGATCACTGATCCACATACCCACAGATCAGTGCCAAGGTTGTTCACATGCATTCCATCCCATCGAACCATTTGCATTCTAAACGATGGCAATGA